GTGGAAGAGAGGGAGAAAGCATGAGCGTGTGTGTCTGTGTGTGAGTGTGTGTGTGTGTGTGTGAGTATGTGGACAGGATGTGATGTCGGGGTGGGGGGGGGGGGTATAAAAATGATAGATGATCGCTGCCCGCCTGAGTGGCTGACAAAGGGGGAGAGGTCTGCCGTAAAGCTGTCTGGCGAATGAACAGATTTTAGTCTAATGAGGGAGAGGAGGAGGCCACAGAGCCCCCCCTCTCCCGTTTCACACAATGTTTCCTTTTCTGCCTGCAGCCCATGCGGCTTCAAAGCTTCACCTCCATGCCCATCCCCCCCACCACCAAGAAAGATGAAACGTCGCTCTCTCACACTGCCTGGGGGGGGTCGCTGAGCTGAAACGAGGCTCCTGAATGGAGTTTCCCCTAAAATAACCCTGTTGGGCTTGTGAGTCAACTGGCCGGAGACAAGAGAGGCAGAGGTCAGTGTGTGTGTGTGTGTGCGTATGTGTGTGTGCGTGTATGTGTATGTGTGCGTGTGTGTGCGCGTATGTGTGTGCGTGTGTGTGTGCGTGTGTGTGTGTATGTGTGCATGTGTGTGTGCGTGTGTGTGTGTATGTGTGCGTGTGTGTGTGCGTGTGCACATGGCCCAGTGGCTTCAAGCTTCCCTCACCTGCGTATAACTCTGGTCCATACACCCCTCCAACCACTGGGTTCAGCTTCCAGTCTGCAGGGACACAAGGCACCACTGTACTGGGTCGACAACATACCTGTGCCTTTTTAGAAACCTCTACAGTCATGCAAAACAAGGAGAATGTAACCTGGCATTTACAAGCTGAACAATATTTATTCAAGCATACTAAAGCATAATAATAATAATAATAATAATAATAATAATAATAATAATAATAATAATAATAATAATAATAACAACAACAACAACAAGGATTACTGTTATTATTATTATTAATATTAATGATCCCATAAGGTACAAGTACTACCAGTGAATCCCTCTGTATATAAAATTATATTGCATCTGTTCCTGCCAAGGTAATGACTGGTGATTCTGCTGTTGACAAATATCCAGCCCAGACCACGCCCCCCACCACGACTCACGCCCCCCACCACGACTCACGCCCCCCACCACGACTCACGCCCCCCACCACGACTCACGCCCCCCACCACGACTCACCGTTGGTATGATGGTGGGCCACCTTTTTGTTCGTCATCACTCTGGCGGTCGCATTGTTTACCTGTCAAGGCGGAAGTTGGACAGAGTCACTGACAGCTCACTCGGTGGATGACGTAACATCCTGCCCGAACAGAGAATGTCCCCTAAGCGGCACTATGAGGAGGCAGAATGCAAAGTACGGTGAATCCAGGCTGAAGGGCTGAATGCCTGTAACCTTCCCCCGTGTCTGACCAAAAACAGCGATGCTCCTGCTGCCTGCTGATCTCCCGCTGCTCTCAGCCAGAGCGGCCCACCTGGAGTGGGGGGGGGTGCTTCTTTAGCGTTAAGGAAGCCTGACAGCCCCCCCACCCCCCTTTGCCTAATAAGGGATTCCGCCGTTGCTCTTCGTGGGACTGTGCATGTTCTTCGAAATATTATAGTAACCTGTTATCCCCTAATCAATTAAAGCTTGAGGCTTTTATGTCTGGATGGACAGCAGAGGTACTTCAGCCTAAGGAAGCAGCTAGTTTGCACTTAGCCGGAAATCAGCCGTAGCCGACTGAAGGCGGCCCACACGGGTAGCATGACGACCTTTACAGGAATGCGCGCGGTCAGCCGCCGTAAAGTGCAAAAGCAGCACATCGAAGCAAGGAACTGAACAAGAGCACAAGGGCGGCGAGCCATACAGCAATAGAACAGGGGAATTTCCATGCATTCTTTTCCCTGGTGCCAGCGAAACAATGATGAGCAGCAAAAATGTGCAATCAGGTCCAACCGGCTGAGTGGGTGGGACCCGCTCTCGTCCAATCAGCTGGGCACGCTACCGGCTCCGGCCCAATCAGCTAGGTGCGTGAATCAACACTCTCACAGACAGGTGAGGCCCGTTGCCAGGTGTGCAGATGGTGTGTGGGAGTGAAGAGGGGCAGTGTGGGATGGATGGAAGGAGAGATGGAGGGATGATGGAAGGGGGCTTTAGAGAGGCAAGCCCCATGGGGCATGGATGGGCAGGGCAAGAGGAGGGGACAAGGAGGGAAAGGAAAAGCATATAACAGGAACGAGGTAGATGAAAAGGAGGAAGGGATGAGGGAAGGAATGAGGAAAAAAGGAATAAGAAAGCACCTCTATTTTGCGTCCTTCTACAATAGTACCATTTAGTTTCTCCCGCGCGCGGTCAGCATCCGCGCTCGTTTGAAACGTTACAAAGCCGAAGCCCTGTACGGAAGTGGGCCAGGAAGATGGGGGGGGGGGCAGGGGCAAGAGGAGAGGGAGAGAAAAACACGGTAAGGTGAGACATAGGAAGAACTGTAGCATTATAAGAGACGAGGGTATTAGTCAGCAGGAGCAGAGAGACGGGACAGCCTCACACACACCGGGCACCCATAACCAGGCCTGTCTCACCCATGGCAGAAACGCTGCAAGATGACACAGAGAGACAGGCAGACAGGCAGACAATCAGACAGACAGACAGACAGGCAGGCAGATATACAGAAACAGACAGACAGACAGGCAGATATACAGAAACAGACAGACAGAAACAGACAGACAGGCAGGCAGGCAGACAATCAGAGAGTCAGACAGACATACATACGGACAGACAGCAGGTTATACTGCGAGATCCGACTCTGAGCAAAGGACTGCCAGCTCTAGTCTATCTGCGACACAAACTATATGCACTGATAATAAATCCTAAAATGGTCAGAGAGAAAACTGAAGGACGACACACAGACACACACACACGTTTGTATCCATATCTTTGTGGGGACTATCCATTCATTTCTATGCAAAAAAACAATGACAACCTTAACCCCTACCCAGCCACAACCTTAACCATAAGTAACCGAACAAAATACAAGACTTTTGGCATTTTTAGTTTTTTGATTGCAGTCACAGATTGTTATTTAAGTGAGTTACCCCTTGTGGGGATGGAAAAAATGGTCTCCACAATGTAATATACATAACCCCCACACCAAACATACACACACACAAACCCATCGGTCATACCATCTGAAACATGCACACATACAGAGCAGCACAGTGAAACCCTCACACAGGAATTCTTATCGGGAAAGGCTCAGGGGTGAAGCTGCTTCTCTCTCTCCCGCCTTCTTATACTTGAAGTTTGTGGTGCTCTTGAATGTCAGCTGCACCATACACATGATGGCAGTGCATGGAGTCATCCTGACACACGCTCTCCCTCTCGCTGTCCGGCACCGAGGCCGTCTCAGAGCCAGCGGGGCGCCCCGGCTCGCGATCGGCCTGCGGGCTCAAACGCTCGGACCACGTTAGCGGACAGACGGAACCCTGATCTCGGTATGTCCTCGTACAGGAAAATAAGCATCCCAGTGACAAATCACTTCCGCAGCCATCCTGCAAACGTCATAAATAAATTCTACTTAAATATCCGCCATATGTAACCAATTAGCTGAATTTCAAAATTTATTATCTATTTAAAAATTCATTTTCCTGCATGCGATTCGCGTGCACCAATTAAGGTTTTCTCGTTTCCCTTAAGCGTAGAAACGCTGGCTGAAAATCAGAATGGGACGTGGTTTTCTGCTCCAGATCCAACTGAAATACCCTTTAAATACCATTTAAACCTGGGAGGCTGCGTCTCTCATTTATCTGCACCTGTTATTCACTAGTTTGGCTGCTGACTGGGAAATTTACTTAAAACATTTAAATATATATATATATATTTAATTTTATTTTGATATTTATAAAATTTTACTTGCCCTCCGATATTTAATTATAGGTTTTTACCTTTGGGGAAAAAGCTTAGAAGTTTAAGTGATTAAGGCACCTAGATTTTGGGAAGCCAGCGTAATGATTTCATGATTTAAGGCAAAGTGACGACAGTATATTTGTAGCATCTGCTGTTGGCTGACAAAGGCAGTTAAATCAGCCCAGCTTAACATGCCCTTACCGTCTGTAAGACAGGGAGTGTCACATTTCCTCTGCCCTGCCACTGGTGACACTCAGGAGTCAGATCAGTCCATATTTATCTCACAGCCTATGTAATAATGTATGATATCCCATTGTTTGGTTCTGGTGTACATGATGCGGTGATCGCCTTGGGGGGTGTGAGACCCATAAATAGGTGAGTCTACACCCACTGTCCCATCTCCCCTGTCTGCAGCAAGGTTGAAAGAACCTGACTTTCATAAAAAGATTTTTAAAAAATACATTTAAAATGAAATGGAGGCCAAATTTAATCCTCCTGACATTTGGGCCAGGCGCGTTTGTGATCCTCATAGTATTTTTATAGAGCACCCTCAATTTCCGCAGACATGGACACCCCAAGCGATGTAGATGCTTGCGGTGGCTCCATTAAGCAGTCAGGGGGGTGGCCGACTGAGGGGCATCATGGGTCGTGGATCTTCACACACATGCGTGTTTCTGTTCTCCATCTCAGGATGAGTGGAGAGATTTGTGTGTGAGCGGCATTGGAAATCTTAAGTTGTACTGCACTGAAAGGCACTTGATGTGATTCGTCATAAAAATACGCAATACTGCACCTTACAGTTTAAACTTTTTGAAATTGATACCTGAGAAGCTCAGGAGCGAGAAAGATTAAACTCAAACCCGAGGAAAGTGTTTGTTTGGACAGCAAACTGACACACCGTGTGGTGTGGATGAACTTCTATGAACGTATGAATGGTCTAGTCAAACACTTCTCATTGCTTTCACTCTTCAAACACCAGAAGATGTTGCTTTGTGCCTTTTTGGGGGGGGGGGTGATGTTAGGGCACAAAGGTCAAGTTAGGCCTTAGCTGAAGGCCAAGATGCATGAGACCTCAATTATCCGGCTGGGGACCGAGGGAGACCAGACCTGACGGGAAGTAAACAGGCGAGCCCGACTGTTCCAGCTGACTTACCTTGGAACCCCGCTCATTAAAAATTATTTCCACGTCTAAAATCTTCCCAAATTGCTGCAGAGTGGGAGATAAAAAAAACAAAAGGAGATCAGCGAGGAGATAATTAGAGCATGTCATGATGGCACAATGGTACAGGAGAGTGGTTTCCAGCGAGCCGAGACCCAAATGCCTGCTGTAAGTAACATAAATGATTTTCTTCTACGGTGGCAGGTCCAGAACGTGCTCCTCGCTGCCACACATCATCCGACAGCGCCGACGCCTTCCGTGGGGAGGTGGTAACGACTCACTACCCGGTTAATCCCTATAAGCACAGTGGTTGGAGGGATGACATGGAGGGGGCTGGCTCTTACAGAGAACCTCCCGGAAATGGTTAGTAATTCTATTTTAAACATGATGGGGATGGGGGAAGGCAGATCCCATGCCGACGCGGAGCGCAAGGTGCTTGATTGCCGGCTGCGCCCGCCCCCCCTCTGGGTTCCCGGTGCTGGCAAGCTCGGTTCTGAGGCCCGGCCGTGTCTCCAATCAGAGCTGCCATCTGGGATGCGGGACACTGGGCCGCTGCTGGCTCTGCCGGGGACCTTTCCCTAACAGCAACGGACTCGGGCCGGTTTGCAGGCCCTCTCAGCTTGACGCAGGGCCAGGTACACCTACCCCTAAAACTCCATCCTCCTCCAACCCCCTCTCAGACCCTTCTGACACGCCTTCTCCAACGCTAACAGACCATAAGCATGCCTCCTTGCTTTCCTGTCCCCCCCCCGCTGTAATTAAACGGCTTGCGGCAAATGGGTCCATGCCGTCATGGTGCATTGTGGGAAGGCTCCGAAACGTGCCGGTCAGCTGGCCGCCTCCCAAGGAGGGAGGAGCATCGCGGCCACCTCTCCCCACCTCCTGGCGCGAAGGGAGACCCCGAGGCACGGAAGTGGTTAACAGGCCGAATCCAATTTGCCGCCTTTGCTTCTGGATCATTAGCGAGAAGGGGACCACAAAAAAAGCTCCTCTAACAAGCGGGGATAAGAGTGAGTTTTAATTGCTGTCTACAATAGCCGTGTTACTTCATTAAAGCTAATTACACCACCAAACGGTGTGCATCGGCACCCTCTCAGCGCAGCAGGCAGAGTGCTTCTCCAGACTTCTCTGAACGGGATGGGAGATGGCTAATTAAGGTTAGGGGGAGCAAGTTTCATCTGCTTCCCCAGTCTGCTGGAGCTCAAGGACAACAGCTTGTGGGTATGAGGCGAAGGGGCAGGGCGGGCGGCCGGGTCCCTTGCTATCACTGCGGGGAGCAGCGGTCCTGGGGGGGGGACATCTCCCACCTGACAGGAGGCGTGTGGTGAGCACCCCCTTTCAGGCACACAGAGAGCTCCACACATCTGATGGAACAAAGGGCAAGAGAATCGGCAGCAAGGTTATCAGCACCTGACCTGGGAGTCATCTTAATGTCTCTGCTGGTAACGGACACCGATGCGGACCCAACTGAGCAATGTAAGTGTAGCCATTACAGTTCATTTTTATATACCGCCTTTCCGAGGGGCTTGAGAAGAGGGCGTGGCGATCCATTATGACATCATCATATCTGAGGAGGAGATACTATGAGAACACCCCCAAATGTCAGTGTCACAGACCGCGTGTACCTGCGTGCAGTCCCCTAGAACGGCGTAACGCTCACCCCAAACATCTGGCGCAGGTCCGGGTCACGGAACCGGAAGGGGATGTTGGACACGTGCAGCCGCTTGGGCTGCTGTTTCTCTGGGGAGGTGGCCAAGCGTGTCACGCCGTCTGTCTGTCCGGAGGGAAACGCAGCAGCTTGCTGTCAGTTCCTACTGTCACAACATCCTGCCTGGCAGCTTGGGGGGGGGGGGACAGTTGGACATCAGGGCTGGGCTGCCTGATTCTGACTCCACCTCATACAATCCAGGACAGCACATTTCGGGCAAGACGATGTGGAAGCGTGGCAAAAAACATTTGTGGCGATTCCATCGTGGAAAAATCTAAGGTGCCAATTCTGGAGAAGCCCTCCAATCAGATAATATCGCTCATCACGCACCGAAAACAATAGCTGCAGCTTCCCTCCAGGATGGAGGGGGCTCGTGTACGAGAGGCGGGGAGCGGCGTCCGTTTCTGCGCGGTGAGGGCAGCGGCGCCGGCCGCCCTGCGGAGACGTTACGCAACGAGCGCGGCCGGCCGCCTCTCCCGGCGTCGCCAAACACGTGGGCCCTGCGGAGGCAGACCTACAACACCGACCGGAATGAATCATGGATTACAATAACTGCAGCAGGATTAAGGAGGGATGCGGAGGCCCACGGTGCTCGGCGAGATCAATGGGCGAGAGGCGCCGGAACATTCCGGATGACAAGATAAGGGGGAGAATGAAAAAGTGAAAACCAGAAAAAAAGTTCTGAGATTGGTGGGGGGGGAGGGGGGGTTACTTCAGTCAGATAATAATCCAGCCAGTAACAGTCAAACTGAACCAAGGCTTCTGCTTAGAATTCTATAAAATACCAAACAGGAACAGCACGTCAATAAGCGTCTAGGAGATGCTGCAAAAAATAAATAAATAAACAAATGCGATCGCTGATCAAAGAGAGAGAGAGTTCAGGCAGCCTTGACCAAGGTCAGCTTCTCCTTCAAAGACGAGACTCTCCTCACTTTCTCCAGCCAGCACTGCCTGTGCGGATCTGGTCCGGTTTGGACGTTCTGCCCACGCCAGAACCCTCTGACCTGTTTGCACGCTCCCATCATCATACCAGAGCAAACGGATCAGCGGGTACCTGCACACGTGGTGGCCATTTCTCACCAGATTACCCTTACAGGTATTAAACATAATAATAATGATGCTTTATTGATCCCTCCATCCAGCACTCAGTTACACATGTAGGTGAGAGCGAGCTTGGCAGCGATGGGCAGTCACCTGCAGGTCGAGGGTCACGGGCCCACGGACATGTGACTGCTCTGTTGAGGCTGGGCTCAAACCAGCAACCTTCTGATCACAGGCACAGAGGCTTAGCATGCTGAGTTACATGCTGCCCCCTGAGCCCATCCCTAACCCCAGGCGACCGAAATCAGACACGAAACAAACGATAAAACAAATGATAAACGGCCCTTTCAGAGTAGCAGATAGAGAGCCAATCATAATAAACGGGGCAACAAGGGAGAGAAACTAATGTCTGTCCGCATCTCACTTATGGAAAAATACTTTACATGTGGGTGCCTCTGCTGGGAGACTAAAACGATTAAATACATCAACGGAGATACACAGCAAACAAACATCAACAAGGACAATAACCGTGAGGGCCTGAATGGACTCTCCCACACCTCCCAGTTAGCCAGTCACTCCCAGTCACCACTGCTCACTGGGGGAGCGCAGGGTTCACGGCAGCAAACGTGAGATGGTCCATCCCCCCCCCCTGCAGTCACTCAGTTACAGTTCTGATTAACTGCATCGGTGAAAAGCCCAACAACGTTTTATAACCGGATAAACGTGGCAGATTATAAAATTGGGAAGATATTCGGGAAGCTAAATGGTACTGACCGTTGCCGTGGTTGCACTGCAGTCTGCGACTGTGACAGACGGCTCGCTGAGGGTGGGCGTGGCCGTGGGCGTGGCCGTGTAGAGGCCGCACTGACCCCCATAGGTTGCCGTAGGGTGTGGGGGCGTCACCACAGCGTACTCTGCAGGGATCCCACTCTGCGGGGGTTGGGGGTACTGGCCGGGGGCGTATGACTGAGCCATTGCCTCTGGGGGGGGCGTGGCCTCTTGGTTACCCTGGAAACAAGAGAAAATTAAATCAGCATATCCCATCCATCCAGAGGCATAAAAATGATAAAAAATGCACGGCTTTCTCAGCAGAGCACAGACGAAACGAAAGGCACTGTAGGTAAATGGCACGGACTCAATTTTGTGACACTAGACATTTTCTGCTTAAAAAATGGATCACCCAGGTCCACACGGCTTTTCGCTGAGCAGAAGAAGGGGACTACAATTTACAGGATTAAAATACACAAGTGGCCGTCCCGCCCCCACGCACCAGTACCTCTCAGGGATAACCGCACGAATCACAGCCGCAAGATCGCTAACACAAAAATTACTCTGTTCTTCTCAAACTCGCTATTAATTGTTTGCAGCTGAGAGACGAGATTAAACACATGGGAAATTCTGTTTGAGGTTTTCTGTTTTGCATAATCTCCCAGCATGGAGGGGGAGATTTCGCATCTCTGTGGCAAATGCATGGAACATCAGCGATTCAGCCTCTGCTGACCTCAAAGCGCACGTCTCGCGGCTGAGCAGCCAGGTCACGGAACAGGCCGCGTCTCCACTTTCGGGCACGTCTGTGTCGGTCTGGAAACAGGCGATGGAAGCGAGCGTCTTCCAACCCTGTGCCAGGCTGCTTTAGGCCAGATCAAAGGCTCTCTTGATAAGTATCAACGAATGTACTTTTCATTTTGCCCGATGTGTCTCGGCGGAAGCAGGCCCAGGAAGATTCCCTGTGTCAGAGAACACGGAACGGAAGCAGGCCCAGGAAGATTCCCTGTGTCAGAGAACACGGAACGGAAGNCGGAAGCAGGCCCAGGAAGATTCCCTGTGTCAGAGAACACGGAACGGAAGCAGGCCCAGGAAGATTCCCTGTGTCAGAGAACACGGAACGGAAGATCGTCTGGCCGATAGACGCCTGACGGCACCCCTGGTCTGGAGCTGTGGCTGTGTTCAGGATGCCCCCCCATCCAGACACACAGCTGCCGGCCGGTCCCATGCTGTGGCGGACAGCACCGTGGGGTGTCTTGTTTAAAGCACTGACGGGGACATTTTGGCAGTCCTGCGGTGCCGAACTGATGCGCTGGTGCATAGACATGGGCGAGCCGCGTGCAGCAGATGCTATTCGGGTTTCCATAATCCACCGGGTTTGTCGCGTAGGTGCGTGAGCGGGCTGACACCTCAGCTAGTGCCCATACGAAAAGACTCGGGTTCGAATCAGCAAAGCTTTATTTGTTCCTAATGTCAGTCCTCACAGATTCAGAGATGGGACCATTAAGTCACACAGTGTGTGTGTGTGTGTGTGTGGTGGTGG